CGTCCTGACGTAGAGCCTCCACGTTGCCCTGTCGTCCTCAGCCTCTCGTCCTGGCCTCAGCTCCTCCATGCCCATTCTCCTTTGATCTGAACCTCCAAGGCAGGGAGGCTGCCAAATTCCAAGCTTGTGTTTGGCCTGTGTGCGGCGAAGAGGCCGGATGTCGCCACCAGAGCCGGTCATCAGCATCATTCACTCGGCGAGAAGAGTGAGGGGCAGGGGGTGAGGCCAGGGAGAGAGACGGTCGCTCCCTGCCTGGGAGGTGGGCGGCCTGGTCTGCTGGGACCACTGTGGCCGCCTTCCGAGGAGCTTCCTGCTTTAACACCTTAGCAGGAGAAGAGACTGGGAGGTTCTAGCACAACTGAGCAGCGGGGGGAGAGACCTTGGGAACTAAAAAGAAACTTCATATGTCTGATCTATAGCCAGGGCTGGCAATATAATGCAACGTGGAGATGTGGGCCCACTTTTGAAAAAGTAAGAAAAAGGCACAAAGTTATTAAAATATCAAGCTTAGCTTTCCCCATTCTTCCATGGTTTCCCAACCTATCATGGTAATTTTTATTTGCTATTTAATCCTTCTTTGGATATGGGGATATTTTTGCATTTATTTATTTACTTATTTATTTTTAGAGATTGATTTTTGCTATAGGGCATGTGTGTTTGCTGGAGAGACAGAGAGAGACAGAAAGCAAGAACTCACCCCCTGGGGGATGGCCATGCCACAGTCTCTCCTCCATTCTCCTCTTGGGATCTTGGGCATGCGTGCACACGTGGCAGGTGTGAGTTTCAAGTCATCGCGTCCAGGACTCCAACCTCGGTCGACTACATGGGAGTCCAGCAGAGGTAACCATTATACCATGTGCTCATCCCTTTCTTGCAGATTCTCGTAGGCTGGGTCAGACCCTTAGAGGCACCAAGGAGCTTCTTCCAAGATTCAGGGTGTATGCAGCTGCTGGGATGCCACCTGGCCAGCCACCAGACTGATGTGTCCTTGTGGTGTTTGCAGTGGGTGGTAACGCTAGAGTATTAAGACCTCAGTTCTACACTGCAGGTACCTGGGTCAGGCGTGGGCAAGAGGCTTGCATTCTTCCTCTGTTGCTACTGTCCAGGTAGAGACAGGAGGAGGAGGTGGATAGGGGAGCGGGCCGCTGAGAATCTGCCCCAGAGGGAGGTGGGCCGTTACAAGAGCCCTTGGCACTCGCTCCACTGTCTCCTTGGACTTTACTTATGAAACACAAATTCAAAGATAAGACTGTTAGGGACCAGCAGTTAGCGTAATGGCTATGTCACTGGACTCCCATGTAGTTGACCACGGTTCGTGTCCCAGACCCGGTGGCTTAAAACTCATGCCAGATGCGTGTGTGTGTGCGTGCCCAAGATCCTGAGAGGAGAAGGGAGGAGAAGGGATTGCGGTGTGGCCATCCCCCCTGGGGGGTGATTTCTGGCTTTCTATCTCTCCGTCTCTCTCTGTCTCTCTGGTGAGTGCATGCACACTATAGCAAAGACTTCTCAAAAAAAAAAAAAAGATAAGACTGCTATAAATTTCAAGATGAGGACTGCAGAGACTTAAACCCAAGTGTGGAGCTCTTCTGAGCACCAGGTCCCCTGGGGCTGCACTGGTGCCCACTCATGAAGCTGATCGCTGCTCTGAGGGTGACCCTTCCAGGACTCACTAACTGGTAAAGTGGCTGGGGGGAGAGTTCCCTGCACGCCAGGACTTTCCTGACCCTGCTGCAGTGTAAACTCTCTAGCCTCCTAAAAGTCCTGCCGCTCTCCACGTTGTGGCCCCTGCACAGTGACAGCGGCATTCTGCCATGCCTTCGCCCCTCTAGGTTTTCTGAAAGCTGGTTTTGCCGCCTTTCAGCTGGTGGGTGGAAATATTGATGGGGCAGGAGACTGGGGGGAGACCCCAGGGCACAGGCTCCTGCTTCCCAGGTGGCTCCGAGGGCTTCCTCGGCCAGGGAGAGCAGAGCTGCCTCCTTAGCCCCCGTGAAAGAAGGCTCCTTTCTCAACCATCTGCAGACGTGTGGACTTGGTAGGAAATGACGCTTTCCCCTTGCTCTGAACTCATCGCCTGACCTGAGAAAGTGCCACTGAAATGAGCGTCCCCAAGCTGCTCTTGGGTGACGGGTGACGGTGACGGAGGGCCTTCTTGGGATCTCCCTCCTGGGGCCCGGCTAAGGAGCATGCCGAGTTTGTCTACCTGCCCAACCTCCATCCGGCCCATTCAGGGCTCAGCTATTGGGGACGTGAGCTGCAGGGCTCTGAGAAGTCTGAGAGGTCCAGGAGGACCTCACAGGAAGGGGCCATGGGACCGGTCTGGAGGGTGACTGGAGTCCCCGGCCGAGAAGTGTGAGGGCAGAGGGGTGACAGCGTCAGCTTTCTGGAGCCTGGGAACACTGAGGACTGCGTGGCTGTCTCCGAGCCCTGAAGGGGGAGAAGGAAGCGCTTTGTGAAGTCGTTGGGTTGGGGAGGTGCTTTCTTCCAGCCTGGAAGGGGGTGGGCCGGGTGGGCGAGCTCCTCCTGCAGCCCGGACTGCAGACACCATGTCCCTCTATCAAACGTGTGGTTTTCTTTTGTTCTTTTTAATAGTTTAGGGCCTAGGATGGCAAGAAGGCTGGGCTATTTGATACAGAAGTAATAACTCCATTTACTAGATGAGTCTGTCTCTTCAAGACTGTGTTTAGAAAAGAAGGAGAGACCTCTGTTCATATGCACAACCTCATTAGTTGTTGCACAACCTTTTTAGTTGCGTAAGAGGAAAATGATCCCATTTAGTCTTCGGACCAGCAGTTCCGAGGGTGGGTGTTCTGGCTGAGGCTGGGCTGCTTGCATAGTATTGGCAGCTTTCTAGCCCACCGTCCACCTGCAGGCAGGAACCGTGCGTCTTTTGCATCTACGGATCTGCTAGAATGCCCAGGCATTTTCCCCATTTTACAGATGAAGACACTGAGGCCCACAGAAATTGAGTAGGTCGTAAAAACTCTGGTAGATACAGAGCCAGAGCAGGTCAGTGTCTGTGGAGTGTGGCCCAAGTGGTCACGCCTTCTGACTGCATCCCAGGGGCCTGATGTTCCCTGTAAACCTATTGGGCCTCTGAGCACTTGTTCGGCAGATGCTGATCCCTTGGGACGCCCAGGGACATGCTGGAGGCTGATGCGGCAGGAATATTGGGACTCAGAACTGTTGAAGAGAACCCTGGAGGAGTGGCTAGCTTTCAGATTTGACAGGCTGTGAGCCCCGGGCTATGCCAAGATGGCACTCTCTGACAGCCCAGATGGGTGCAAGGGAAGCGAGGGCCCCAGGGGAAGCCCGAGAGGACAGCGTTGTCCAGCACAGGCGCCGTAGAACGCCCTGGCAGGCATGGGGGTGGGCAGTCCCTGTGTGCATCTGCCACGCACGATAAAGGTTCGTGACCTCACGCACTGCACACCGGACCCCAGGAGGCTGGGGTATGAGCGGGCATTTCCTGGCTGGGTGGGAGACTGATTCAGCTCAGAGGGATCCCGAGGCGAGCATTCTGGGGAGAAGGGAGAGAGAAGCCAGCTACCCACGCCCACAGAGAGACCGGCTGAAATATGCAATGCTGGCTGGGGCCCCGGCAGTGGAACCACAGCCCGCAGGCTGGACAGGACCGATGAGCGCGGACTCTGACATCGCCCCGGGAAGTAGGCCTGACCACACGAGGGACAAGGATGAAACCTCTGCATCCTGCCTCGTCCCGTGAGATAGCCACTAGCCGCATGCAGCTATTTATATCACTGACTGAAGTAAGAACTCACTTCTGCTCGCATTAGTCACACTTCCATACGTGGCTCGTGGCTGCTGGACTGGGTGGTGCAGATACAGCACTAGGGCGTTTTCATGCCTGCAGAGGTTCCATTTGCATGTGAATGATCTATGGGGTTGTCGGGAAAGTCCTGACATAAAAAAAAAAAATACATCCTGACTTCCCCGACAACCCAATAATGAATATTTTTATATTGATTACGTGTCGAAACAACATTTTGGATACATTGAGTTAAATAGGATATTAAAGTAACTTCGTCTGTTTCCTTTCTCCTTTTGTTTTTCACTGTGAGGAATAGAAACTTGTAAGTTACCTATGTCGTTCATATTTCTATCGGACAGCACCGTTACAGATGGGTGCTGTCTCATATTTTCTATCTTGCCAGAAGCTCACCACAGAGATAGCTGGG